CTTCTTCTTCTTCTTCTTCTTCTTCTTCTTCTTCTTCTTCTTCTTCTTCTTCTCTCTCACACACATTCGTTTTTTTTCTGTCTTCCTATATTTCGCTCCCTCTTTCTTCCTGTTAGTGGTCTCCAAAGAATAAAAATGAAAATAAAAACCTTGTGCAAGTGGGAAAACCTTAGGCTCCAAATTCTCTTAAATGACGATCATTGTTAGTACTTTAGTTCTACTTGTATTCTTTTCTTGTCTTGTTATACCAGGAGGTGTCGAGGGGTCATGCAATTAATTGTCGAACATGGGCCAGGTTGTTGTGTTGTTGTTTTTGCTGTTTAGATGGTCACGTTTTTCTTTTCAGGGATCTTCTTGACAACGCCGATCTGTCTTTTTCTTGGTCTTCCTTTTATCTGGAAGCTATCGAATCGTATGTTGTAGGCCTTTTAGGCTGGCTGTTGTGGCCCTAATAGTGTTGATCGAGGAGGGAAAATATACACGTACAGTTTACATCTTGTTATTGAAAATTAACACAAATTATATAACATTTGTAAGAACAGAAAGTTACGTTTTAGTTTGCAGTCAAAGTTATCGTTTGTTTCTTTCTGTCCTCAGAATTTGCCACCAAACTGTGCACAGATAACGGGACGTGGTGGATAAACCCTGACCCGGAAGTGGGTCACGAGTGGACGAACTTCACCGACTGTGTCAAACCGTCCATTGATCTAAGCCTGCATGCAGTAAGTCAAAGGCTTTCCTTTCTGTGTTTGGGTCTATGTTTCTTAAATTAAGAAGTTATAGTCTTTTCCTCTGTAACAATTATTTCTTTAACGAAGTAAGCCACTGGACATAGTGTAGTTCTCTGGTAAGTAACAAAATTGTCGCTATCAATAGCCATGAACCCATTCCCACCTGGGAGAATTTGGGGGGAAAAGTGTGTTTCCCAAAGACACGATGTCGTGCCCCTTACGAGATTCAAACCCATGACCTTTGGAGAAAATTGGAGGGAAAAAAAACAAGAAAAAATCAACAGCAGGACAAGAATGATTTACTACGGAAATACGACTAATTTTAAAGACCATGACTCTGATTAAAGACTCCTAGTCATTCCATTCAGATTGAGGCATCGGAGTGAAATCATGTGATCATTAAAATGATGAAATTAAAAAAACTGACATTTTTTCTGGTCGTTGAGCAATTTATTTAAAAAAATTTTTGGCTCTACATCTTCTATGTCCATCTAAAGACACATTTCTGTGTGGAGTTTTACTGAAAAATATTGATTAAAGACACAAAAATTGTAAATTTTCAGTTTTTAAGGACGTTCAGGCTATGGTATTTACCAAACTTGGCGCCATTTTTTCACTAATTGTTCCTCTGAAACCAGGTAACCCTCATCTCCTTCAATTGCAAATATTTCGATTTCTATTCAAGATAAATGGATATTTATTTCACCAAAGACGACACCAATAACCCCATATACTCAAAAATTGTGTGTGTTTGTACGTGGTGAAACACCAAACCAATGTGTCAGGAACAGGACAATAATGATGTGTCTTATCTTATCTTATCTTATCTCATCTTACCGTATCTTATCTTATTTTATATTCTCTTATCTTATCTTATCTTGTCATATCGTATCTTTTCTTATCGTATCTTACTTTATTTTATTATTTCAACTTATCTTATCTTATTGCAGCTCGACCCGACGTTGTGTCTTTGGGAAAGGCACTTTACACGAATTTCCCACTTGGCTCGGTCCTTTCGGAGACGGACGTTAAACTCGGAGGCCCCGTCTCTTTAACAACCTAATAGTGTTGATAGGGGCGTTAAACCTATACCATTTCACCATTTTTTAACCTTATTGTCTTTACGATGTACCTATTGATCGTTGTTGTATTCCCCGCAGGCTCATGGGGATAAGCTGAGACTCCTATACACAATTGGGTACAGTTTTTCCTTGGGGGCGCTGCTGGTAGCTGTGATCATCATGCTGTGCTGCAAGTAAGTAATTTATTGTGAGATAGCGTGGGGAAATCAGGCGCTCGTTCAAAGAAACGGGCATTTTTCCGCAGATTTGAGGATTTTTATTGAATTTTTGTTGTTGTTTTGTTGGGGGGGGGGGGGGGGGGGTTTGGCTCAACACCTTGTATTTTTATTGAAAAACGTTGATTAAAGGCACAAAAAAGTAAATTGTCAGTGTCTATGGATTCTCAAACTAAGGAAATAATTAATCTTTGGCTGCTATTTTCTCACTAAATCTACCTCTGATATCAGGTAACCCCCACCTCCTTCATTTGCAAATATCTCGACTTGCTTTCTAGATAAATGGACATTTTATCATCAAAAGCAAGAAGAATGAACAAGCTTTAAGGAGATACCAATAACTCAACACGCCCCAAAAAAGACAAGAGCCTGATTCCACTGCGTCGTGACACATTTTATTGTTGAAATTCTATATCTGCTTTTCTGTCGGAAGTTCTTTTACTTTTAAAGTTTTGTTTCTCATTGGTTCATTCTCTCTCCTCCCTGACACTCTGGCTCTGTCTGTTTGTCTGTATGTCTGTCTGTCTGTCTCTGTCTGTCTTTCTGTCTGTATGTATGTATATTTATGTCTGTCTGTCTCTGTCTTTATCTCTGTCTCTGTCTCTCTGTCTCTCTGTCTCTCTGTCGTTCTCCCCCTCTCTCTCTCCGCCCCCCCCTCTCTCTCTCTCTCTCTCTCTCTCTCTCTCTCTCTCTCTCTCTCTCTCTCTCTCTCTTTCTCTCTCTTCCTCTCTAACACCTCTCTTTATCTGACCATCTACATAACTCTCTTTCTCTGTCTTTCCATGTCTTTCTTCCATTTTCTCCCCTCCCCTCTTCTCTCTTTCTCTCTTTCTCTCTGTCTCTCTCTCTCTCTCTCTCTCTCTCTCTCTCTCTCTCTCTCTCTTTCTTTCTCTCTCTCTCTCTGTCTCTCTCTTTAAACAGAAATGATCTTGTACTTACATGTATTATCAGATGATTCGAATTTATTCATGCGTTTTCTATGCCAGACAGACTGGCAAATTTTAGAAGCCCTCTGTCCAATACATGGTACTTGAAATTGTTTGAAATCCGTATTTTGAAGTGGCAGCAAATTCCCTAGTGTAAACTACCAAAGTAAACCAAGATCATATCAGACATTTAATCTAAACCGATCTCCTAATTATATATATTTACACTGTCTACAGACGCCTTCACTCCAAGTCCAACACGATGCACATCAACCTGTTCTCCGCGTACATCCTTCGAGCTGTCATCTCCTTCCTCAAGGACATTCTCTTCGTGGGCAACGTGGGCCTGGCAAAGGACGTCCGCACGGGGAAGGACGGGATCTTGGAATTTGTGCAGGACGCTACGGTACCCACAGATAAATAATAATAATAATAATAATAATAATAATAATAATAATAATAATAATAATAATTGCATTTATATAACGCATACCCATGCTCAAAGAGCATGCTCTATGCGCTTTACAACCATTATTACCCCAGCAGACCCTCTGAGAACACTCAGAAACATTCTCGGCTTCTGGGGAAGCATACAGTGCAAGCTGCGGATTTCACGCGCTCAAACACTATCAAACTGACAAGATTGTTCACTGTCTATAGCCGGGTACCCATTTCCACCTGAGTGAAGTGAGGAACATTTGTGTAAAATGTATGTCCCTAGGACACAATGTCGGGCCCCTGACGGGATTCGAACCCACGACCTTACGGTTGCGAGTCCGAGAGCCTAACCACTAGGTTGTCCTTATTCTTAGCGATGATTATGATAGTGAGAAGAAATAATAATTTATTATAACGATAAATTTATACCTAAATATAAGCCACGCTGATGTCAAAGTCAATTGCCAAAGACAATGTTATTGAAGCAAAAATTGGTGACAAACAAGAGTAGATGCCTATTTTCTCCCAAGTGCTTCTAGCAGGCAGGAATCATCAAGACCATCACGTACATAATACAACATGATACAAGGTATACCACTCAATCACAACAACATGACACAAGGTATACCACTCAATCACAACAACATGACACAAGGTATACCACTCAATCACAACAACATGACACAAGGTAATCCACTCAATCACAACATGACACAAGGTATACCACTCAATCACAACATGACACAAGGTATACCACTCAATCACAACAACATGATACAAGGTAATCCACTCAATCACAACATGATACAAGGTAGACCACTCAATCACAACAACATAACACAAGGTATACCACTCAATCACAACAACATAACACAAGGTATACCACTCAATCACAACAACATAACACAAGGTATACCACTCAATCAAAACAACATGACACAAGGTATACGACTCAATCACAACAACATGACACATGGTATACGACTCAATCACAACATGACACAAGGTATACGACTCAATCACAACAACATGACACAAGGTATACGACTCAATCACAACATGACACAAGGTATACGACTCAATCACAACAACATGACACAAGGTATACCACTCAATCACAACATGATACAAGGTATACCACTCAATCACAACAACATGATACAAGGTATACCAC